CCCAGTTGAATTTTATTTTTATTCAAAGGTTTGTTAAAATTAGTGCTATGATGACCGAGTAATTCTCGGGTCCTCTATTTCTTTTTTAGACACCCTATACTTTTGTGGTGGGTACTGATCGGGAGTCAATGGGCCCTGCCCACACTGACGAGGTGTCTCTGACTCTAAATTTAGAGTGCACGTCATGCTGCTTCAAAATTTCATTGTCATCTCGAGCTGGTTATATAATAATATGTACAGTGCATTAAATATATAACTCACTTACTCTTAAATATACTCACAACTAACAAGTCAGTAGCTTTTGATAAAGTCTTCATTTAACAATACTGGCTTGCAAGTGATATTGAATAAACCGTTAACATTACCTCTTACATTTGTTTCGCTCATTGCACATATAGCTGTTGTTTTTTTCCCCTAACATTATATCATATTCACGGTATGCTTCATGTCGCCTTCTCATTCCACCTCGTTTATGTATATATATATATATATTATATCATAAACATATATATATACATATATATATATATATATATATATATATATATATATATATATATATGTGTGTGTGTGTGTATATATATATATCAAAATTACTGGTAAAAGTATGATGAAAAGTCGGTAGAGGCAATAATGTTTATCTGAAATTATCTGAAAAAGGAGCAACATGATGTTTTATAGTTGGACGAGCAGTAGAAAGAGTACTGTCGAAGAGTGTACAGGCCGGCAGTGACACAGTGTTTATGGATAATGTTTAGGGACGAACGTATGTTATTGTTTAGGGCTGGGCAAACAGACAAAGAGATTTTTAAAAAGCCGCAGCAAAACAAAGTTTCCTGAATCACAGTTAGTAAGCATGTCATTCATGACTTTGTTTGTTTTTTGTTTTTGTAAAGTGTTTTACGCTGCTCGCAACTGCATACGGTCATATGAGCGCGCGGAACACACCTAATATTTTCAGTTGGTAGGAAATTTTGAATTTTGCGCGGGTGGCGGCCGAAGCCTACTCTTATCGATTTTAGACCACCAAGGGATCTTTAACGTGCACAGCTTACACACGGGCCCTCGGAGATTTTTTGCCCTTGTCCGAAAAGGCTAGGTGTAGATCTTTCCTACCAGAAGATCAGGGGTGTGGCAGAAAAACAGCAGTAAGGAGGAGCCAAGGAGTAGCAGTAGAAAGGCTGCAGAAAGAGTCAGGAGCCCAGAGGAGGGGGCAAAGGAGGTGAGGGGGTGGTGGCAGAAAATGGAAATGAAAGCAGACAACAGAACATTGTTAGAGAGCAGGAAAGGATGTGAAAGGAGACAATTTTAGAGAAGAAAATATTTTGGTCGCTACCCGGAATCGAACCCGGGACCTTTTAATGAGAGGCCAACACCTTAACCTCTAGGCCACGAGACCCCCCTAAAGCATCTTTCTTTAAAAAGTGCTGTTTCTGTACTGTGGTTAGTTTGCTAGGTAGATTGGGATGGCTCTAACAGATACATGTTCTCTTGTGAGTGATGACCTGGCTACTCCAGACCTGCCACTCATCCCGATTTAATCGGGATATCCCGATTTTTCGCCCCAAATCTCAAGCATCCCGATTTTCCCGATTTCGATCGCCAGTATCCTGATTTTTTGTCGTTGCGTCTGTTGCGTCCGATTCTTAGAAAAAATATAGAAAGTTCTGCAATCTCTTTTGCTTGGAAGCACCGATTGGACTTTTTATTGGCAGGAACTTGGAACGCTATTTTCTAAATCATCTAGATCTATGCCGAATCTAGTAGTTGACTCACACGTTATTTCAACTAAAATTGATGTAGTATCGATTTTGAATTCCGACATGGATACGCTCAAGATCTACTTTCGCTTTTATAACCCAGAATTCTCCGATGGTGTCCTGATTACTGAAACAATTATGACATGGGCCTCAGAATAATCTATTTGTTGTTCTGCCGTTGGTTTAAAAGCAAGCTTCGTCTTGAGTTCTGGTTAGTCGGGCCCATCATCAAGACCCGTCAGTGGAACTTTCAAACGCTCATTCGCATCACGTGACATGACTTCGTACATGTGAGTAGGGCGTGTGTGGGGACCGTTGGCTGTCGGGGTCAGCAAAGTTCATTCACACCGGTCGCATTGGTCGGGGTGTTTTTCGAGACGTAACCAGGACGGCCAGGGGGGTGGGGGTATTGTTTTGACACTTGGGCTTAAAGTGCGTGCCGTGATACAAGTAGAACCAACTAAATGAGGATAAAGGAATAAGAAAGAAAAAAATTAATGAACAACCTTGGCGCGATCTTTTTTTTTTTTTGGGGGGGGGGGGGCC